TATACTTATATATGTATGAACGCATGTATGTATGTATGTATGTATGTATATATGTATGTATGAATGTATGTATGTATGTATGTATATACATATATATATATATATATATATATATATAGTATGATAGTAATTGCCTGCTTCTTAGCTGACCAAGGATGGCTATGGGCGATATATAAAGATACCCGCGTTATAAAGGAATAAATTTATTTCTTGAAGCCATGTATTTAATTTGGTACACATATTGGACGCGTAAGAATCTCAGAGATTTTCCAACGACAGTGCCCACTGCTGAATACAAGAAGGCAGCAAGCGTGAAGTATTTGAAAGAATCAAATGGAAATCTCCGGGGGTTTCAGAAATCGTAGGGTTGCGTTGAACCGAAGATTTCGAGTCGCTCACGCAGAGAAAATGGTTTATACCCGATGGCGAAACATAACCGTACCTTTACTTCTACTTGTATCAAACTCGAATAAAGAAATATATATTGTTCTTCGTAACTAACCGAGTCAATATACTGGTAAACTAGCGTTATTTAATAGTGGTGAACTGGCGTTTTTTATGCAATTGCTATATTGGAGATGGGCTTAAAATGGCGAAAAGCTGCGACAAAATGTGACATTTTGACATCCAATCCAATTTCCCACCATTTTTTAAGAGGGACAAAAAGCCGATATTCGACGAAAACGGGGTAAAGAAGTACCTAAAGATTTAATTGTCCTCAAAGGTAGAGCATAAGGAGGCTATGGCTTTGATAGCCTCCTAAAAAAAAAATGAAAAAAAGACGGAAAAGCAAATCACAAGCTATTCTACACAAGAGGTGACGCCCATGACATACCTCACTGACATATACGTGGCTCCTGTAACATCGTCCATTCAAGAACAGTGTACATTGCAGATTAGAGAACGGGAGAGTCCATGTAGCTAAAACTCCTTTTCATGTATGTAAATCTAACATGCGCCAGCCTATCTTGCACTCTATTTATAACAACAATGCAATTACTATGTTAAGAAATCATAGTATATATAACATTTATAACAACAGCATGAAAAAGTTAACATTTTGCTATGCAGCTTCTTCGTTTACCAACGTACCACATGTTCTAATGTGGCAGTCTAATCGAGAACTTCAGGTGTTGAGCATCAAACAACCTATCTAAATCATAATAAGTTCTGACTGCCGCATGAAGTCCGATATTGTAAATCTGTGGTTGAAGCACTCGAAAGTACAGTTCTTAGTTGGTCACTATCGCCATGATCTCAGTAAGCACTACACTGTCCACAATTATACAAATACAGAGGCGAGTAGCGACCTGCCTGTAGCAATTAAACTCTAAATCATAAAAATATTTTTCAAGAAATGTTTGGCGTCATCTCCCGATATAGTAAGCACTTTATACTTTTATTTATACCACAGGTATAGTATCTAATATTTGATTTCGTGAGCGAGATTCCGTGGCAGCTGACAAATCTCTTCCGTGTCTAGCCGCCTTCCGCTCCCACTTCCTTGCTATTGTGCGTGTAGCATCCTTAGTACTTGTATTGCTTTAACATGATCTTCCAACGCAAAGTAGCAGTCCATTAGCATGACTGAGTACTCTACAGTCGGTCCTGCCCATGATACGGCTTTGTCACTGTTTTCATATAGTTCCGTGTATTCCTTGTACAATTGACACTCGTACAGAGTCGTAAGCACGTTTTTCAAATTGCCGGCTGAAGGTGTCAGCCTCAAACTTAGTCGCATCTGGTGAAGAAGTCGGGTTGTGAGTGTCCCGTCTTGCACCAGCCCACACCAAGTTAGTGCTCTGGTGTATTCTGACTCAGTTCGTATTAACCCCTTCGTCAGGCCAACATATATCAGCTCGGCGATGGGCGCAGCAGCAGAAGCTCTACACGCCACAGGTGCGGAACGATGCCTTTGGATTAGCTTAGTAAATAACTTCTCCCACATCTCAGATTTGAGGATACAATTTAAGGGTCTCCCTTCTTGCGCAGCAATACCAAGCCAAACATTGCCTGCCTCACCCCATTTGTGAGTTGATATATATGACTCGAATGCCATTGTTGTAATTGCGTCGATATATTTGCACGTTCTTTCCCCTCCATCAGTGTATGCGGGTGAACAGGCGTTCTCACCTACATGCGTAGGTAAAGCTTTCATGCCGGACTCGAATATACATATACATTGGGTGTGATTTTGCTCTCTCTCTAGGGAGTGCGTCATCAGTTCATAAATATGCTTCGGTCTGAGTTTAAAACCTGCATCTCCCAGCAGTGAGACCATGAGCCCAACATCCATCTCCCTTGCCACCGAAACTGGAGAAGATCCATTTTCAGCTATTGTATTAGCCTTTTGTGCATCGGTGTTGACTGTTATTGGTATGTGTCTCATGGTTTCTATCTGCTTTGAGCGTTTCGATGATAGCTCAGATAGACTCAGCAACAACTTCGCCAGCTCGCTTGTTGGCACTATCCCGAGCGCCGGCATACATCTTGCAAACCTATACAGAGCACCCCATTGCTCACAAGACACAGAGGCATTTAAGTAGCCTTGGTATAAAATCATCGGATCGGTTTCATGAGGATGCACCACCTGTAGACTTGAGTGCAGGTGTAAGACCTGGGTCCATTGGTCGCTTGTCCCACACACATACATGGCCTTCTCAAACATCGCGAGTGGCGGTACCATGTGTTTCTCCCTCATATCCTCTATTAAGAATACAACTTCCTGCCAATACCCACTCCGAGACAGACTATTCACCGTTAACCGAAACATGTCCACGAGTGTTTTGCGGTCGAAGTCCAAGCCGATACTCCGCCCGTCACAGGGATTCAAAATAACCTGCAGAAATGTAAAAAGGGCGCTCGATTTGGAAGATTCGTCTTGCATCTCCAGTTGATGTGACTCAGTGGTTCTTATTGACAGGTGGCTAGTTTCAGTCGGTAGGCTCTTCATAACTGTATAAAAGTGGCGCATTATAAGTATCTCACTTTTCAGTTTGAGATCTTCGATTTCGTTCTGCAGACTAGCTATCTGCGCTTTACAGTCATTGACTGAAGTCTTCGCATCGGTGCAGGCTCGTGCTTCCCGGCCTCTAGTGCTTATATTGAACAGCAACGCCTCCCGTAAATTCTCCACTTGATTGGATGTATCTCTAAGTATGTCACTCAGCATACTCTGCCGATCCTCGATTGTTGCAGGCGATGTCTCTACCGGTGTTCTCTCGAGCACGTGCCGCCTTTGTTTCCCAACCGATCGTGTCACCTGCTTACTATTCCAGTCCGCATTGTTCGTAGATAGCAAGTCACTATCCCGACTGTCAGTATTCTGCCTATTTTCATAGTTGGTTTTGTTACCACCCTTGCTGTGAATAATATGCCCATCCCCATTGTCAGGATTGTCGCACATTTCTAATATTTCATCGATTTGCTGCACCATATACGCAGCATCTGTACTCAACGTCGTCACACGTGAAGAGACAACCCTCCGGGCCGCACCTTGCGAATCCAGTTGACCTATATCCATAAAGTTACAAAAATATTCATCCGTAGGAACTACCTCGCATGGTATCACGTCCCCTTCTATGGACGAACTTCTAGTTGGTGTAATCGACTTCGCTTGTACACTAGGTCCGGCACTGTCAGTGGCGATGTGTGTATTTCTTTGTACAGCTTCCCCTACATAATCGAGCAGATTGCGAGCGGCAGACCACATTCCCAACGATATATAAATTGACATCATTTT